GATTTATGGTATTTTCTATCTCACTCCAGTGAACTGTTAGAAATTTTGAAAGAAAGTCACTTTGTGTGGCCACAAAAACCTAACACGAAGAAGGCAACAACTAAATTGGATAGGTGGGGTTTGAGGCAGATGTTGGCTAATCTTTTCTGTAAGAGGCCACATAATGAATATTCTTTGACTTTGTGGGCATCATGGTCACTGGCTCCCCTACTCATTCTGCCCTTATGGTACAAATGCAGCCAAAGTCGAAGATAAATGAGCGGGTGTGGCCACATTCCAACACAAGCTTATTTACACAACTGAGCAGCAGGTTTGGTTTGGCCCCAGGGGTCATAGTTTGCCTCAGTTTATAGTTGCTAGCGGGAGATTGGCTGTTTAAGCAACAAGCAACCCCAAGCAAAGGGTGATCTTGGAGAGCCAAGGAAATCCGAATGTGTCTCTAGAGAGTTAGACAAGGAACTAAATATTACCTTCCTGGTAAAAGACTCAAAATTACAGATGAAGTACCTTTGTTTGGTGAGCCTGTGGCTGTAGGAAACCTATAAACAACAGTTCCTGGTGATTAACATGGCTGGGGGTTTGGGTTTCCATTGGTTTGCTTGGTTAGGGTCTACCTCATTGGGTAGAGGAGAAGTCTATCTCGGATGCTTTCCTTCATCCTTCCCTGGTGTTCTGGAATTCTTAGGATGTGGGAAATGTTCTGCCCCCCTTCTATTCTCGATACCTACACAGCCCATCTCCTTCTTGCCCTGATGTCTAAACTCCAGCAAGGTCACTCTGAGGATGAGGTCCCCCAGTGCCACTGCATCTTTGTCTGTAGTCCATCCGCATGCTCCTGGTGACTAGACACTGCTGTACTTTTCTCCGAAGAACTGATAGAAGGGACTTGTTATTTTGGCTGCCTAGGTGGTAGGCTGCTCTGGCTTCAAAGGTCAGGCCCAAGGGCGTTCACTTAGGGGAAATACTTCCACAAGTAGCTCTCCTTTTATACAATCTACTTTGGCCAACCTAGTCTGCTCAGGCCATTAGCATTTATAGTCCTGGCACACTTTGCAAATTGACAACATTGTCATGCCAGAAAGATGGTTAATAAAACCAACAGGAGTTATTTATGAGTTTCTTCCGATACAAGCCAAACACAAGATGTGAGAGTTCAATGAAGTATCCTCACGCGGTGGCAGCAGCATTCCCGAGAGGTGGTTGTATGCCAGCCATCTCTCTGAGTAGAAAAGGGGTCCAGGCAGCCCTGAAGTGCTAAATGTAGGTCCTGGTTGGTACCCCGACATGTGTGGGATGATAAACTGAGGATAGAGATGTGTACCTTCTCTCCGACTGTGACCCTTACAGGGTCACCAGGGCCGGCAGAGTAGTTGTCATTAGCAGCAGCTGGCTCAACTGCCCCTAAAGTAATAAGGATAACTCCTAGTCGTCTTGGTAGCCAAACAGGTACGCACCTGGCTTACCTGTTCTGGCACTGAGATGCCAGGTCCTTGGCCAGCTTCTTTTCGCTACATATAAAGGAGAAATGAGGTATATAGCAGGGGGCGGGGAGCTGGTCTGGAGAGGAGAGCCAGACTTGGCCCCAGTTGGGTAGATTTCATCAGTATCTTTGCCTTTCCTCAAAATTGGAAGTTCGCTTTACTTCCTTAGTTCTTGGGAGACACAGCTTCCAGGGATGGATGCCAGATGTTTGCATGCCCTTTTAAAGTGTTCAAAGAGCGCCTGTTACTAATCACCACATCGAATATTGTTCACACGAAGAGTTTCTGCCCCGGATTGATCTGAGCATGTTTCAGCTCTCTTCTCCCTGACAACAGTAAGAAGCTGTTGAAGGAGAGAGCGTGTAGTTTGAGCCTACCAAGAGTCCACCATAAGCTGTTGTTGGAGCTAGCAGGGGAGGACTAGGCTGGCCATAAATCTTTCCTGGCTGAGACTTGAAAAGTTTTGGTTTTAGTTTACTTAGAATGTTAATAATTTTGGAAATTATTAAAGTAGAACCAAAAGACTTGCCTTTTAAGAGGCCATTGAGATCGCAAATCACTCCACAGATACAATAAGCTGAGCGGATCCAAGTCTCAACTCTTGCCATGGGTCTGCTGGAAGTGTGGCCATTTTCATATGACACGTCATGTGTGGAACCAAAGAGGCGTGAGAAGAGCCCTTAAAAGAAGCTTGGACTTAGAAGTTGAAAATTGTGCTGTACGAATGATTTTATGACCGGAAAAAGCCAATCCATTCCCCCCTCTCAGTTCTTCAGTGTTTCTTCCTGTTGGTCAATGTCACCTGCATTCACTAACGTTAGTCAGTGTTTCTGGTAATGCCACCACCAGGACAATGGATCTCTCTGAACCTGGGACTCAGTGATTAGCTAGACTGGCTAGACAGTAAACCCCAGTTCCTGCGCTCTCTCTTTCTCTCTCTCTCTCTCTCTCTCTCTCTCTCTCTCTCTCTCTCTCTCTCTCTCTCTTTCTCTCTCTCTCTCCCAACCTGGAATCACAGGTGTGTTTCCACGCCAGGCTTTTCTTCACAGGACTTCTGGGGAATCTAGCCTTAGGTCTTCATGCTTTCACAGGGAGCACCTTCCTTACTAAGCCATCTCCTCAGCTCATCCTTTCCCGACTTCAAATGACCTAGCACAATAGATACATGTTCTTCCTACCATCACATCCCCTGTGGTCATGGGTTTCCTCGTTAGCCAGTTTTCCTTTACTGAAACAAAGCATGTGAGATAATGAAAAAGACTGAAAGCTCATAGTTTTAAAGGTTTTAGTTCGTACACAGATCCATGAGAAGTGCCAGATCCAGGGAGGGTTGAGTTGGTGGCAGAGAATGCTGCTCACTCTACTGCAGCCCAGAAACAGAAGAGAGAAGGTGGCTTGTTGTAGTGGGAGGGCCGAGTTCTGATGGGGACACACTGCCCTGGCTGTTGTTGTTTGTGTTTTTATACTTAGGTTTAGGCCTCTGGATTTGGAGTGATTGTAGGTCTAGGTGCCAGTTTCTGGAGTTGTTTTTGTTGGGTGGGTGTTTTCCTCCTTAGTTTCTGTTTCCTCTCTGGTCTTCTGGATCTCATGGCCTACGGTTGAGTAGAGAGAGCGTCTCTGTCCATGTTGGGGTGGGGGTGGACTTCTGAAGTCCTGGATGGACTCTGGTCCACAGGGGGGTTGATGCACAAGCTTAGGACTGAAGTTCTGGCTGTGTATGGGCATGGCCTCTGATCTGGCTAGGGGTCCTCTGGGGTTCAGATGCTCATCTGGAGCCTGCACGGGACCAACCTAGCCCCTCTGCATATATTGACAGTTGTGTAGCTTTGTCTTCTTGGGGACTCCTAACAGTGGTAGCAGGGGCTGTCTTTGACTTTTGCTGGATTTTTGGAACCCATTCCTCATACTGGGCTGCCTTGCCCAGCCTTAATACAAGGCCAGGTGCTTAGTCTTACTACGACTTGATATGCCATGTTTTGTTGATATCCATGGGAGACCTGCACTTTTCTGAATAGAAATGGAGAAGGAGTGGGTAGGATAGGGGGATGCAGAGGGGAGGGGGTACTGGGAAGAGAGGAAGGAGGGGAAACTGCAGTTAGGATGTCAAAAAATTAATTAGAGAGAGGGGGAGAAGAAGAAGGAGAAAGGAAAAAAGGAGAAGAGGCACTGGTCCCACACTCTCTCGAGGCTATATCCACAATGACGTAAAGGCTTCCTAGCAGGTTTTACCTCTTAAAGGATCCTCCATATGCAAACTCTGGGGCATTGGAACCTGGGGGATATTTGGCCACACAACTATAAGAGTAAAATACTGGTATTGACAAAGCTTGTGATAGTGTTTATGCTAGGATCCAGTCTCCAGAAATACTTGATGACAGAAAGAATCATCTCTGGGATGATGTACAAAGCCACTTGTCACTTAGACCTGGACTAGTAACAACGATACACGCGGGAATTTAGCACAGGCATTTTAACATAACTTGATAAGAGAGAGATAGCTACATTCATGGAAGCCAAGGGTACAGAGCTGGGATGCCTAGATTCAGTTATTTCATATATAGGCTTGGTGATTTTGGCAAGTTGCATAGGTTTTTCCCGCCTATTTCCTCATCCATGAAATTGGAAAAGCAGTCATACCTACTTAATGCAACTCTGATTACTAGTTACATTTACATATAAAAGGAAAAAGAAAACCGGCTATATCTTGAGAACAAATAAATTATAGTAAATGCCTGTATGAGCCTAGAATTTGAAAAATGCATTCTGGGACCAAAGGATTCAACTTCTGACGGCCTCAGTTGGCTTCCCTGTAAAGTAGGGGATCGGCAGTAGGTAGAGTCTAAGGCTGTTTCAGGACTCAAATGAGCTGGGAAGAGGCTCAAATGTCAAGCAGTTAAGCCAGCAATAACCCACACTGTGCACACCTGTAGAGTCAATGCTGGGTGCTGTTATTGCCACTACTGCGCCTTGGCTTTGAGCTACATCAACACTACTGGCTCTAATTTTTTCTGAAATCATTCAACTTACTACTGTATCATTGATATTTTTCTTGTTGCTGCGACAAAAATACCCGACTTAGCCATCTGTTAAGGGAGGAATGATTAGTTTTGCCTTACAGTGTAAGAAGGGATAGGGCCTGCCTCTACGGGGAAGGTATGGTATCAGGAACATAAGGAGGGTTCTTGAGCAGTGAGGAAGGAAAGAGCAGCCAGGAAGTAGCACCGGCTGTCCTTCAGTGACTCACTTCCACCAGCGAGGTCTTACCAGCTGGGACCCAAGTGTTCAAACAACGTGAGCTATGAAGGATGCTTCCCATTCAAACCACAACACTGCCTTCTCCTAATAGTGCTATGGCGTGCTTGCTGTTGGGTACCGTGTATGAGAGTCACAGCTGCCTCCCATGGTACTGTTTAATCATGTCAGACTTCTATGTCTCTGGGTATCCAACCATAAACACTGAGAGAAAAAGATGGATGGTCTCTAGATAACCTTTGTCAACCAACTGTTTTCTCTTGGCAGGATGTTCTGGAAGCTCTCGCTGACCTTGCTCCTCGTGGCTGTGCTGGTAAAGGTTGCTGAAGCCAGGAAGAACCGGCCTGCGGGCGCCATCCCTTCACCGTACAAGGATGGCAGCAGCAACAACTCGGAGAGATGGCATCACCAGATCAAGGAGGTGCTGGCCTCCAGCCAGGAGGCCCTCGTGGTCACTGAGCGCAAGTACCTTAAGAGTGACTGGTGCAAGACGCAGCCGCTGCGGCAGACCGTGAGCGAGGAGGGCTGCCGCAGCCGCACCATCCTCAACCGCTTCTGCTATGGCCAGTGCAACTCCTTCTACATCCCGCGGCACGTGAAGAAGGAGGAGGACTCCTTCCAGTCCTGCGCCTTCTGCAAGCCCCAGCGCGTCACCTCCGTCATCGTGGAGCTCGAATGCCCCGGGCTCGACCCACCTTTCCGAATCAAAAAAATCCAGAAGGTGAAGCATTGCCGGTGTATGTCCGTGAACCTGAGTGACTCTGACAAGCAGTGAAGTCACCAGGGCAAGATGCAGCTCCACCCTGAGAGCCCTTGCCCCTGGGTCGCGCCACCGCCACTTCTGTCGAGCTCACTCACACTATGCCCGGTGTCCCCGTCAGCAGCAAATGCATCTCTTAGGGCTAACAGTGCCCTTGTCACAAATGTGGACCGCAAGTCGATATGTTCCAGATCCACCCCGGGCTATTACTCGTGTCTCCAAATCCAGGCTGTGGATCGGGCACAGAAGATGTTGGAAAACACTCTCAGAAACTAGACAGGACTTTTCAGGCGATGCACTGTCAATCGGGGATTGACGTTTCCACCATGTGGAAAAGCCAGCCTTTCTCTGGCCACATCCTACACTGCAGCTCGACCCTCCCTTGGTGAAGAACGCACCCCTACTCTGTCGCAAACTTCCACTTCCGTTGGCCACCAGACCTCTGTGGTGTGGGCATTCACTCTTCTGAGCTGGGAGCTTCCGGGCTCTGAGGTTGCTGTGTAGTCAGTATGGGCAGCATCCACAAGCTCACCCTCAAGGGGTCTCCAAACACACCTGATACCCACAAGGACAAGGCAAGCTTAGTGGATCAGGAAATGACTTCTCTAGGAACTGTGCTCAGCAGGCCAGACCCTCTGCACCTCTAGACACCACCACCTCTTTTCTTGCTCTTTCTAGCCCCCACCTGTGGACTCAAGATGAACTCTGGTGCACATGCTCTTCCCTCTGCTATTAGCCTGTCCCCACACAAAAGGTCTCTGTGTTAATGTCAGTTCTATAATTGATCCACTGTGTAAAAAGCTGTTAAAAGTATTATCGACCTATTCCTGTATCGACTCACACGGTTGGACTCTCGCTTTGCAGCACCATTCTTGAATAGACAGTAGCACAGGGAGTGAGCTGTAGAACAGGTATTTTACTGAGAAATACTGCCGGGTCAGCAATTCACTGCCACACACCTTTTATCAGATTGAGCGGGGAGGAGGGACACGTCACCATTTACATACATGAGTATGACATCACCGAGACACTAACGCATTGCAGCATAGTGTAGAAAGTGGGTTAGGACAGATGGTGTATCCAGGCGAGTCATTGGGAAGTGGTAACGCTTGAGGCACACACGTGAAATGAGACCTGGTACTGTCTTCACTGCCATAACACTAAGCAGAAAATCTTTTCTATTAAAATTCATTTAAGGATATATGGGATTGAGACACTTTGTGGCACAGGCAGACATAAAAAGTAAACATAGAGGGTAGTAATGTAGTTGAACTGTCGCTCAGAAAATAGCTTCCTTTCCAAAGACTAGACTCCTAAGAATACCAAGAAACCTTAGGTCACCCTTCGAATTTGTGATGAGTTGTGGAAGTCTCTGTAGTGTGGCCTTTGCTGAGAGGACATTGAAATAATCTATTTTCCTCTAACATTACACTCACGTTCAATCTCTTTGTGCAATTGTCCCTGTGAATGACGTGTATGGAATCTGACAAATGTGAAGGAGAAGCCATTGCTGGGGCTCAGAATACGTCAACCTCCTTTGGTTGGCCAATTCTCAGTGCAAGCTCTTGCCCAAGAGTGGGTTTCCTCATGTGTGAGAGAGACCATCCGTTAGCTGCTCTGAGATTCAGGCTTCTGGACACTCAATAATGATGCTGGCTCTCTAGTTGGCCACCCAGAGAAAAGGATTGGGGCGAGTGGGGTAGGGTGTTTCAGGTACTCTCTTACCTGAGTCGGAATGCATGTTTTTGAATTTATTTACTTCTGGTTTTGAAGGGAATGTTAACTTCAGAAATGAGAGCGCATAGCCTGAAATCTGGAGAGAGAGATGAGAATGGAGAAATTGTAGAGGGCTGGAACCCCTGGGATGAAGGCAAAAAGAGAAGAGGGTGCCCAAGGTCAGAGCTGCAGTTTTCACTTTGAGTAGAAAACCTCAAGCTAGAGCCAGAGCAGAACATACAGCAGGAAAGCTGTGAAGGATGGATGATGAAGTAGAACAAGAAGGGAGAGAAGAAGAGTCTCATACCCAGCTGCAAAGCCAGCCCATATCATTTTATTAACAGGACCCACACAAGTAGAGGAAGAGTTGAGCTAGCAACCCACAAAGTACACATGTTAGCACTCTTTTTGATCTTAGTCATTGTTGTACCCATGAGAGCAATATGACATGCTGTGGTCTGAGGCTACTTCTGGGGTTATTGTATGTATAATGTTTACCTTCAAGTGGCTCAAATTGTATTTAAATTTTGTCTTGTTTATAAATGAAGAAAAGCTATAAGTATAATGTAATTATTTTATAGGTATACTATTAAGTTATAGAACCAGTAAAGGTACTCTGGGATTATATGTGATCCTGGTGTCATGTGCCATAAAAGCTGAATTCTGCACTTGTGTCCTTGGGTAGCAAGGGATCTTGGTGCACTCAGAATGTTCCAGCCTCTGGGAGTTCACCACTGGCCCATGTCACAAACTGGCCTTGGGGGTTTGGGATCTTCTAGGAGAATTGGAAAGAAGCATTGAGCAAACAGAATTGGTGGGGATGGCTCTCAGTCCCAGTCTACAGGAGCACCTAGCCTCTTCCAAATCACCCACCAGCTGAACACAGAATGTACTCACAGTGCTCCTGGAATGAGAAATGAGGAAGCTTTGAGAGACTGATGCAGCAGAAGTCCACTGTAAGTCTCGTCGTCTCTCTTGTAGCCAGTGCGCCACACTCGTGTCTTACATAAGCCAGAAACTGTGCTGAGTTTTGCTTAATTTTCCGTTGACTTTCCACAGATTTCAACATTTCTAATTTAAACACGTCTCAGTTTCACAGTGTTGTCATTTTCCTGCAAGTTGAATTATCTGCCATTTAAGAAATGCAATGATCAATAAAACGTAAAAATCTTAATAAAATTGCATGTGTGTGCTTCCCTGTATAGACTTTTACTGATTTAAATTCAATGTGACAATAATTGATGACAATTATTAATAAGATGACAATAATCCATCTTAGTTTTTTAAATAAGAAGAGTCTACTTTGATCAATGCCATTCCAAGTGACTTGTTTCTGTAGTTGGCTGGCTGATTCTTAGGTTGCACAGTCAATGAAAAGGAACTGTTGCCACGGAGTGAACAACTCAGGAATGTAAGTACTTCTAGAAAGTTTACTTAATGAACAACTGAGCTACTACCATTGATTATTGTTTGCATGGGAGATAATGATAAGATCTGATCATAAATGATATAACTAAAGCTTGTTGATCTTCAGGCTATCCTCTGAATCTTACTTAAACCCACTCCTAATCTCCCTTACCAGCTCCTTGGCTACAGCTTCTCAAACACAGCAGGCAACCCAGTCATGTGACCAGTGATGAACTGTGTGAGCCCCCAGAGCTTCTGTGGGTTTTTCTACATGTCAATCTAGAATGTGTGGTAAGACAAGCAAACAAAACCCCAGCAACTCCACGGCTTTATCATTCTTTAAATCCTGAGATTCCCCAGTCAGTCCATCTTCTTTCAGCCACCCTGTAGGGCTGTCTTGGATTGAATGCATATGTGTGGTATCACGAGAATTTACCGGATGGGAGAGGGAAAGTATATCTATTTCATTCTGTCTAGTAACAAAGCTCTCCAGAATCCTCATAAGCTCAGTCAGTCAGACTCTAAGCTACATTGTGTAAGTACTTATCAAGATTTCCTGTATATGCATATTTGACCCATATTTCTCATCTAGCCCTGTCATAAGAGATTATTGTGTAATACAGAATGTTACTAAAATCCAGGTTTCCTGAGCTATATTCTGACAACCGGCAACAGAATAAACAAAATGGGTATCCATCCCATAGGGAAGTAGATTTCACCTTGTTCTCTTGCTGATAGGTACGGCAAAAATCCTACTTGCTACTATGACAGTGAGCACTTCTAGTGTTGCACTGCAATTTCCCAGCATCTGCTGTCTTTGCAGGGGGCAACAGGTGAAATACATAGGGTTGCATAAGGGCCAAGGAGATTTAAAACATTTCAGCCTTTTGTTCACCCCTGGCCCCTCCACTCTTCTTTTTGCTGGGATGGGACAATTTCAGAGTTTCTGCTTGCCACTCACCATGATAGGAGTACTTACCTGAGGTCAAAGAACCAATGTGAGGTGTCTTCAAACCTCCAAGGGTATCGTTTCTCATTTTATATTTGGAGAGGAGATAATGGATCAATAGGTTTCTCCAAGGACTGGCTCTCCAAGCAGTGGGTCATCAAAAACTAGTCTTTAGCTTTGATTAGTGTAGCTGCCACAGATTCCATATTAATAGGTGTCCAGAATGGTTCATTCAGCCTTTAGGAGTTAGTGTCAATTACAATCCAGTGGTGAAAAAAAAACATTCTTGAAAGCATCAAGTGTTCTCCCTTTTCTCTGAAGCACGTGTGCTTACCTATGTGTGGTGCAATGTTCATAGGTTAAGGAGAGGCGAGATAATAAATGTATAGAGTCGCCCTGGTAATGTAGGATCTTAATTCAGAGGGAGTCACCACCCCTTCAGCCAATGCATTCATTCCAAGTCTGACCTGGAAACTGGGAAAGGCTTGCAGCTTCATCCTTCCACGTCTTACCATCACTGATGCTTTTATTAGCAATATTTCTCATAGTAGCCCATCTAGAAACACTAGGAATTTGCCTCCAGGAACATCAGATTCTTTCAATCACTCCCAGATTAGGATTGGATTACCCTGAGAGCCACTATGATTCTACTATGCATTTGCAAAAACTATGTTTACATTACATCTAAAAGCTAAGCATTAATGCCTGGGTTGTGTTCTTTGGAATTTTGCTAATCTTGTGTCTGCTGGCGTCTAGTTACAACAGCACAGACTCATTGCTGAGGCCTTCCTAAGAACGTAGTCAGCTGAATTTTGTTGTTGTTAATGATGGTTTTGCTTCTTCAATTTTAAAATCTATTCCCTTGTTTTTGGGTCCATGTCAGCGTGCTTAATTCACTGGGTCTTCAAATCCTTTTCTGCATTACACCATTACACAGAATGGAAGTCTCTATTTCTATTTCATTAATCTGGATTGTAGCTTTCACGCTCTCCTAGAATTATCCTAGCAGGTTATCACCATCCCTGGGGCATTTGTCCTTGAACCAAACCAAGATACTGCTTTTCTGTTGAAAAAATACCCCTTATCTTTTTTTATCTTTTTTTTTTTTTTTTTTTGGCAGTGTTTCTCTGTAGCTTTGAATCCTGTTTTAGAACTAGGTCTTGTAGACCATGCTGACCTTGAACTCACAGAGATCCACCTGCCTCTGCCTCTGCTGGGATTAAAGGCTTGCCCCACCATTGCCTGGTCTTATCTTAATGTTCAACTCCTGTTCTTTGACCCAGCAGGACCCCATCATTCCTGTGCTTTTTTCCCTGAATGTCACCACATTTTCTCTGTGTTCTCCTCCTATTCTCCTGTGATATGTGACTTTTCCTCGAGAGACATGAACAAATGTCTATTCACCTCACCCTGAGTGCTAATTACACACCAAAGAAACTATTCTATTCCTTTCTAGTCTGGTAAACTGATGAGTTTATTTTGGGTTACATACAGGGACATGGACAGGGAGTTATTATAAGAGAATGGGTGACTCTTTTGTAACTACATCACTGAACAGCACACTTCAATATAGGTGATGAGTAAGGAAAGTGGTATTTTTGGAGCTGCCTGCCCAATGCTCACACAGCTCCACTGAAGAATCTCCTAGTCCCCAGAAAGTGTTTTCTGTCGATATAATCTTGGAGAGGTTCCTCATGGATTTTGTATCTATCTGAGCTTCCCAGGTGTCCTATGTTATAGACTCCAAGTTTTGTTGATAGAGGTATGAGCCCTTGCCTTCCTGATGTTGCTGCCCACTTGAGGCAGAGCTCTGACAGGAAGAGAATTCCAGCTCCAAACTCAAGGCCAGAGAGCAACACAAACAAACAAACAAACAAACAAACAAACAAACAAACCAAAAGAACAAATATTCCTTGTTGAATGAAAGCCCCACTGACCAAAATTGACAACCAGATCCTTGAATGTAGGAAGCGTCAGGTAGTACCTGGGATAGACTAACATTTTGACAGCTCTTCCTTAGAAGAGCTCCTTAGGTCTCGTTTTTTCCACCGTATTTGCACACCCAAATTCAACCAATAAGCACCCACCTGGTTCTGAATAAATTTGAACATCTAATGCTTCAGTGTGAAGGAAGCACTGAAAGCCAACAGAGGAGGAAGAGAAGGGAGATGGCTTTCAAGACTTGCCAGAGATGGACAAGGCTCCCCCACCTGAGTCTTCTCCCAGTCAGGGGTTTGATTGAGCCAGCCTTCAGGACTTAATCAATACTTCCTGCAAGACTTCAGGACTTGATCAATACCTGCACGTAAATTCGTCCTGCCTCAGTACCACACAACTCCACGCTTCTCCAGCTGTTTCTGGCCTTTGAGAGCTGCCCAGGACAAGTGACCTGTCCTTCCCCCTTGCTGTGTTCTGTAGGCTTGCCCTCAGATGACATCTTCTCAGAGCTGTGATAGCCCTTAGCTAGCATCCTGCTGTTACTGAGTTCAAACTTGTTCTGCTGAAATAGTCCAATCTGCATGGCAATCTGTTCAAAGTTTTCTAACGAGTTTTAGATTGTTAATCTGAGTGAGGCATATAGTGGCTCGCATTAGAACGTTCCTCCGTTTGCCCACTTCATTCTTGAAGGGAGGACATAACAAGCACCCAGCTGGAGATAGGTGGTGGTCTCCATTGACAGCCATAAACCTTTCATCATAAACTTTTTTCTCTCTAGGAGGTAATGTTTCAGTCCAGAGGAAATGGACACAGGATTATCTAGCTAGTCAGACACTTAATAGCAGGGATGGAAACAAAGCAACAAACAGGTCTACCTGATTTAGTGGAATCTGATAGTATAAGATTCTCCATTGGATAGATCCACAGACTCCTCCCCAGTTTATGAGACATATGAGGGTCTTCACACAGGCATAAGTTCCTTCCAAGGGCCGAGGAAGCAAATTTCTCTGAGTATGTATTTCTCGTACAACCAAGACCTCCTTTTGAGTGTAGTAAACTAGGGGTTAATGAATTGTTGCAAAAGAGACCCTATTTACGGTCATCACTTTTTTTTGCATAAAATCAGTGACTAATCATTCTGAATCTTTAATTATCTCAACAAATAAATGTCATTTGAAATAGGTATCCAGTCCCAGAGTCCCCGTGTCCACTCTGTTCCTCATAACTTTTAAGAGCAGCCAGTGAGGCCCTCCACCAGCTATCAGTGCTAGTTTACCCAAGGGACCTCTCAGTAGTGCGCACTACTGCATGCCTACCGCTATCTTGCTGACTGACTGACTATTGATCCATTCCCCAATCCCTTGTTCTGTCCCTCCTCTGGCCACTCACTTCTGCCATTGATTATCTTAGTTGCTTCTCCCAACTTTGGGATAAAGAGTTCTGAATCACTTCGCTAGGGATTCTCAGAGCACATGGTCCTATGTAGCAGTAGGAAAAATTAGATCATGGGGAAAGTGGGAAAAGCTACCTGGTTCCAACTCACACTGAGGCTTTGTCTGATGCTATGGAGAGTTTTGGGGGCATGGGATGGTATTTTAGTGTTGTCGTAAATTGAAGAAAGGCCTTTGCAGACTATATTGCCCAATTACTGCCCACGGGGCATCCCTAGAAGGAGGCAGACCTTACCTTAGACTCTGGAAACCTCAGAGGAGGAGGGATTTGGCTGCTGACTGTTGGGCAGTGATATTTTCACTGAGGTTGGGTTTAGATGAGATGAGATGGTCTTTTATCCCTGAAGAATCTGGGCAGAGAGTACCATCATGGTACTCTAGATAGTGTTAAGGCAAGGCATGGGGGAGGAGCATAGGGACAGAAGGTA